TTAGGAGCTGGAAGCACGGGAAGAGAGCCTACCCAAATCATAGCAGCCGGCTGGTGGCAGGTCCAGCCATTTTCTCCCCTCCTTTTCTTTCAGATTAATTAAACACGAAAACAACTCACCGACTTTTCCTTGACTGTTCTTTCTGCCCCCAACAAGGACCTCTCATGAAGACAAATGATATCCACCACAGCGGGAGAAAGTTACTTCTCAAAAGGAATTTCTTCCCACATGACTTACAAGGTTTGGAGCTTTTTCTTCATTTTCAGTCTCACCCCCCCCCTTTTGGGGGGGGGCACAAACTCAATAAGCAGCTGGAACAAGAATTTCCAATCAAAACGTGGACTAGAGTGCCTTAAAATGCCCTTCAAAGATTCTGTTGGAATGTAACTGCTAGGAAATGAGGCTCATTACTCTCATTAAGCAACTTGGACCCTCCTCATGACATCGCTTTTGAAATGTAGGGTGGTTACCGTCTCATTGTCTTAATCAGCAAATTAGCCTCCCCCCCCCATATCTGCTGCAGGCAGCAGTTCCAAGCTGCCTGTGGATGCTGAAAAACACAGATACTGTAATTAGAATAATGAATGCTATACATCGCATGATCTCTGGCTCTCTCTCATGGCCAGTTCTGATAAGGACACCATGGAAATAGATTTCTCTATTGAGTGCTATAAGCAAGCATAGTCTCTGGCGCCCCCACATGGCTAGTTCTGGTAATATCATTGTAAAAAAATATAGTTTTTGGAGATTTTCTTTTAATATTTTTAATATTTTCAGACTGTGGATATGTGAATCAGCAGATGCGATCCCATGGCTGAGTCCTACTATGTACCCTGTTTCCCTGAAAATAAGACCTAACCTGAGGTACCCCCGAAACTAGCAAAATCAGGGAGCTGGACAGGGGACAGATTGTATTGGTCTTTAGTGTGGAAGAAGGGATGGTCCCTCTCGAATTGGCCTCCTCAGCCACGCTAGACGCTGTTCCAAGACCTCCATACGGAGCACATGACCATTGTCTCTCGAGACTGAAGGATGCCTACAGAACACTTCTGAACAAGCATCGTTACCTGTAGGAAAGCATAGTAGAAATTTGAACCTTTTTTTTTCCAATTAAGAAGATACCCTGTGTCGGAAATCAGACCCATTTGTCCTGGCTGCTATCAACTGATGCTCGCTGTTCCTTTGAGAAGCTTGTTTTGGGGACCGAAATCCAGTCCCAGCTGTATCCCCGAGACTGTTGGTCTGCCTCTTCTAAGACTGTCCACAGGCATTTTGACAGAATTTTTCATATTTATGTCATTCTCCTGTCAACCCTAATCCATCAACCTGTGTCAAGGAAAGTATTCTCTGTTTTTGCCTTTTATATTTTGTATAAATACTGTATTTCTAAAATGCAAAAGCAGAAATTGTCTGACAGAGAGAATAAAATAATATTTCTAACCAGCTGTCAAAAGGGCAACACAACTCCTCGACAAAGCACAATGTAGTCAATAAATTGCACAGCTGGAGCAGCAATAATACGAATTCCTATGGAAATGCCATCAAGGCTCCTTGGCTTTACAAAACAGCAGCTTCTGATGTGGGTGAAAATTGACTTTCTTGATACGGACTGGTGCAGCTGCCAGCAAGTGGGGGTGGAAGACCTGGCTGGGTCCCTTATGAATGCCTGCCTTCCCAAAATGTTCCCCCCTTTACCAGTGATTATAAGGTACTCGCGTTAAATATTTATGCATTATTTATTTGATGGTTTCACGTCCCTGTCGTTCCTGCCAGGAGCTCAAAGAGATGCACATGCTTGGCTCGCCTTGCATGGTGTCTTCATGACAACTCGGTATGATAATTTTTAAATTTAGCCTTGTACTACAATCCTCACTTGGTTGTAAAGCTCTCCTGTAAAGCCTGGCTGACCCCCAAAGGGACCTTCAAGCGACACATCTGCTATGTGCTGTCTACAGAATTCTGACTTAGGGTGACCTCTATGAATCAGTGACCTCCTAGAGGTCTGACTGCTAACAGTCCTGCTCAGGTGTAACAAATGGATTCCTTTATTGCATCAATCCCTCTCGTGTTTGGTTCCCCTCATGACTGCTAACAGTCCTGCTCAGGTGTAACGAACGGATTCCTTTATTGTTTGGTTCCCCTCTTCTCCTGCGGCCTTCAGCTTTTCCCAGCATTATTGCCTTTTCGCCAACATGTTTTAATGTTCAACTGTAATCCTGCTTTTATGCTTTCTTTTTTCACCTTCATCAAGAGTCATTCTTCGTTGCTGATTCCTGACATTCATACGGTGTCATCTGCGTATCTTAAAGGTTTTACGCTGCTTCCACAGTTTTCACATGGGAATTTGGCCCAGCTTTTGGAGTGACATTATGAAGCGACATCTAATGCTAAAGGATGGGCCTTGGATGTACATAGGATTGCAAGCTTGAAGAACAACCCTCTGCGCATCTTCTCTGAGAAAAAAGTCCCCTGGGTTCTGAATGGTGATACTGCCAGATAAATACTGTACATGTGGGATTGCACATTTGAGCAACCATAACGCAAAGCAGATGCTGGTGAGAATCCTGGCTTAGCTGACACATTAAAGGAATCAGATCACAAAAACTGGTAACCAAAGAAGAGCTGCAACCTCTACTTTTAAACTGTCCTTTTATCTATGTGATCCACTGGGGTAAATTCAAAAGCTGGTCATGCACAGTGGTGTTTAGTTATGTATTTATTTCTTGGTCCTCGTTTGTCTCTGCCACGCACCTCCTGGGTGGGGGACGGGGGAAGACAATGCCCCAAACCAATTTCTCTCTACTCCCTTCTGCTTCCTGAGATACTGTTAAGATGTGGGTAGAGAGAGTTTTTAAAAAAAAAAAAAAGCAGGGCTCGTCCGGGATTTGAACCCGGGACCTCTCGCACCCTAAGCGAGAATCATACCCCTAGACCAACGAGCCAGTTGTGATATATGCCTTCCAGATGTTTCTTCAGGCAGACGGTAATTACAGGCTCAAATTACACTCCCAGCTTCTGGCAGGCCCGCCGTGTGTTATGCATGCACGCACCAGCCAACCTCGTGTTTGTGTGTGCGTGCGTGCGGTGGCCAGGCAAGTGTAGCATTGACTCGGAGCAGAACTTCAGTCTTCTCCACTCTTTCTTTGCTGGCATGGGAGCCGAGCGCATAGTCCGGGGAATCTTAGGGACGCCTAAGTCCCAAAGAAGGGGTGGGATTTCTGAATGCCCCTCGCCACTGGCGGCCGCACTTAATTCTGCACACATGTGCTAAGGAGGGAGTCCCACGGAGCTCCGTGAAACCAGGTGGGTTTCTCTTGAACGTCTTCTCACAAGATGGTGGTCTTGCCTGTTCTGCCCGCTTAATCTTCATAACAGGCGGGTGAGGTCAAAGTCAGGCCGAGAAAGCCACTGGGCGGAGGCCACCCACCCTGTTTTCATGGCCAAGCCGGGATTTGAACCCAGGCCTCTCCCAAAATTCCCTGGTTGGAACTCTAACCACAAAGACTCTCTAATTGCCCCCCACACCAGCTCCCTGGCTTAGGGTACACCCAGCACCCCCCAGACGGCACCCACTTTGCTTCCATCAAGCGATATGTTGTCTGAGTACAGGGAGATAAAAGACGGCTGTGCATCTCTTGAGGTCCCCCTGACAGCAAATCTCTCCTGGTTTTGATCAAGCCAACGTGATTTAGTGGACTAAGGTTGTCCTAGGACTCAAGACACCCAGTGTGGTGTAGTGGACAGTGTTGGGCTCAGGGAGTCCAGGGTTCGAATCCCTGCTTCATCATGGAAACTCACTGAGGGAGTGGAACGGGTCAAACCAATCCTTACATATCTCACTTATCTAGAAATCCCTATTAGGGTCACTACAAGGGCTCAGGAAAGCTGGGTTCCGATCCCCTTTCCGTCGTGGCCGCTCACTCGGCAACAGCAAGAGTAAACCCCTCTTTAAATACCTCGCATACCTCGGAAGCCCTATTAGGGTCACGCTAAGTCAGGAGACACTTGACGGCTCGTCATGATTCTAAGACCCAGAGCGGCCCGGTCAGGGCTCGGAAAGCTCACTTCCAAATCATGGTCCTGCCGCGAAAGACCTCCCTGGGGGTTTGGCAACGGGAGATCCACTCCTTGGAGATCCCCCATAGACCTCGAAAACCCTTTTAGGCTCACAATCAGTCCAAAGCGAACGGGGAGAACAGGAGCAAGCGAGGAAGTGGGCTGGACGTCCGTTCGAGGCTCCCACTGTAACCAACCCCTTAGCCAGAAAGATGCCCAAGCCAACTTTCCAGTCATGGGAGTGGGAGGGAGGGCAAGGGGGCGAAGGGTGAGCTGTTTGTCCCTCTTCTTCTTCTTCTTCTTCTTCTTCTTCTTCTTCTCCTTCTCCATGGAGAGACGCCTTCCAAGCCAACTTTCCAGTCATGGGAGTGGGAAGGAGGGCAAGGGGGCGAAGGCTGAGCTGTTTGCCCCCCACACACACACACCTTCTTCTTCTTCTTCTTCTTCTTCTTCTTCTTCTCCTTCTCCATGGAGAGACGCCTTCCTGCGCACAACGGCAGGTGCCTCTCCTTGGCTCTGCCCTCTGTTTTTGCTCTCTTGCAATCCCAAGAACACCCTGAATCGGCTCCGACCAGCGCACTTCTTCTCCTTCTCCTTCTCCTTCTCCATGGAGAGAAGCCTTCCTGTGCACAACGACAGGTGCCTCTCCTTGGCTCTGCCCTCCGTTTTTGCTCTCTCGCAATCCCAAGAACACCCCGAATTGGCTCCGACCAGCGCGGCAAACGAGATTAACCTCTCAGAGGGGTTTACAGGACAGAAGGTAAGGATCTTAGGCGCTCTTAATCCCCAAGTTTGCCTCTGGGATGATCAGGATTACAGCCGGATCCCGGCTTGAGCCCTTAAGTGGATTCTCCCCTCTGGCACTCTATAAGAGGAGGGGACGGGGTCCCACGGGGGACGGGTTTTCCGTGGTCGTGGTCCCAGCGGCAACAAACGGGGGAGGGATGTCCGGAGAGGAAGACTTCTACCTCTTTGAAAACATCTCCTCGGTGGGGCCCTGGGATGGCCCCCAGTATCACATCGCCCCGATGTGGGCCTTCTACTTCCAGACGGCCTTCATGGGCTTCGTCTTCTTTCTCGGCACCCCGCTCAATGCCATCATCCTCGTGGTCACCGTCAAATACAAGAAGCTCCGGCAGCCGCTCAACTACATCCTGGTCAACATCTCCTTCGCCGGCTTCCTCTTTTGCGTCTTCTCCGTCTTCACCGTCTTCTTAGCCAGCTCTCAAGGCTACTTCTTCTTCGGCAAACACGTCTGCGCTTTGGAGGCTTTCCTCGGCTCCGTGGCAGGTAGATCGGGGGCCCTAGCAGGTAGCCGGCCATTTTGGGGGATGGGTGGGCACCACACGGGCGTCCTTTGAGAGCAGGATGGGTGGGCAGCCGCCGAGGTGGTGCCCTGGATGAGAAGGCGATCGGCCGGCTCAAGCATGATCAATGGTGGGGATTGGCCGGGACCTTAGAAAGTCTTTGGGTCCAACTCTGAAGTCCGAGCTGTTGGTTCCAACTCCCAAGCTTCAAGTATGAGTCCCTGTTAGAAAGAAGGAAGGAAGGAAGGAAGGAAGGAAGGAAGGAAGGGGTGCGTTGGTTGAGTCATTGGAGAGGGGGAAAGCCCAGGTCAAGTTCGACTCGATTCACCCATCCAACTCAAGTCTGACGTGACTGTGAGTTCCTTGACTTGAGTCTCCATCCCTGGGGGTCGGGGTGAAAAACCTTAGCAATCAATAAGAAACAGCTTTGAAAAATGCCATTACAGTTCCATAAATTCCATTGAGAGAGGGAGAGAGAGAGAGAGAGCAACCATTTGGCGCCCTGGGAATGAAAAGAGAAGCCACAGTCGGGTGATTCCCTTGTCAGGACTGATTGCACATTCACAGAATTATGAAAGCTTTCCGTTTAGATGAACAGGAATGTAAGTTTTTCCCGGTTCTCCAGAAACCTTCATCAGGCAAATCATTTAGCAATTGGAGAGAGGGGAGTCCCCCACTCCAAAATTTCATGGAGTTACTCTAGAATCTTTTCGCATAAGGAACTCATTGAATGGATCTCTTTTCCCGCCCTACCCAAAACTGGAGTCCCTTTGGGTGTGTTGGATTACAATTCCCATCACTGCCATCTGACGAGGGATGGGGCATTGAATAGCTCAATGCATCCAAAGGGGCCTGAGTTGAGGAATGTGGCATTGATTTTCCAAATAATCGTCTCGGGGAATCAGATCGAAAGACCCGGCAGCCATACTGATCAGTGAGATGCCTCTGGGAGGTTTATAACCAGGCTGGGAAAGAAGCCATCATCTCATGTTGGGATGTGTGGTACTTTTGAGGGAAGCCATTAGTGAACCAGAAGGCACCAGGTAGCGATCCTAAAGCCATCGTGGCCCCCAGATCTCTCCTCCTGCTAGTTTATCTCATCTTCTCCAAAGGCCACTCAAATGTTTGCTCATTGCCACATCTTGTGGCATTGAGTTCCACAGGTTACTTGAAGAAGGTGCCACAGAGACACTAATGCCGGCCTAGCTTATTTGGCTTCGTCATGTTTTCAGAGATAAGGTGTTTGCAAGCGCTTTGAACCTTCAGCCGGGGCAGGAGATACGTCCACTATAAAATTTGCAGTCTGGATATCCATAAAGTTTCAAGGCGGCTTTAGAAAGCCTGGGAGCTGTCTTCAGAGTTCAGAAAAATCCCTCTTGTACATGACAATTCCCACCATCTCTAAGCAGCCATGAGGGTGAGGATGTTGGGAGGTGGCTTCTTCTTCTTGTTCTGCCCTGCCCTGGCCGTGGATGCCTTTGGTTTCAGGTCCCTGATCAATGTGGAGCAAGAGTGAAAGGGTTGGAAGGTAAAGGGAAAGGTTCCCCTTGACAATTTTTTTTGTCCAGTTGTGGATTCAACATTAGTTCTGCCCTGCCCTGGCCGTGGATGCCTTTGGTTTCAGGTCCCTGATCAATGTGGAGCAAGAGTTAAAGGGTTGGAAACCTCCAAACAAAGATCATTTCCAACCTTCACTCAGCCTTGAAACTCGACGGGAGTTCACTCTGTCACGTGGATTCGATCTTATGACTGCTGGTCTTCTGACCTTGCAGCCCAGAGGCTTCTGCGGTTTAGTCCGCAGCGCCACCACCAAGGGTTGGAAACCTCCAAGCAAAGATCGTTTCCAACCTTCACTCAGCCTTGAAATTCAGGGAGTGGATCTGGGGTCCCTTACCTGCCTTGCCCTGCCTCACAGGGCTGTTGTGAGAGGATAACCAGGCAGTGGGTGGGTAGAGCAACACGGGCTGCCTTCCTCTCACCGGAGAACAGTCAAGGTATAAATGCAGCCAAGCCATAAATAAAGAAAACCTCTAAGGCAGCGCCTGCCTGGGTCCACCTCACCGTCTCTCCACCCCGGCTCCTCGGCAGGTCTGGTCACCGGCTGGTCCTTGGCGTTCCTTGCCTTCGAGCGCTACATCGTCATCTGCAAGCCCTTTGGGAACTTCCGTTTCAACTCCAAGCACGCCCTGCTGGTGGTGGCGGCCACGTGGTTCATCGGGATCGGGGTCTCCATCCCGCCCTTCTTCGGGTGGAGCAGGTAAAGTGAGAAATGGTGTGTGTGTGTGCGCGCATAAGACAGGTTCTCCCCTGCCCACCAAACCAATGAGCATCGGGAAGAGAACGCTGCCATGAGCCTTTCCTGAAAGCCACGGGTAGTGTCCGGTTCTGAGTTTCACAGAATTCTTCCACCAGCTGCGTGAATGTCATGCCACAGAGCAGGGAAGGGCAGCTTTGCTGGAGCCGGACAGGCGGCAAGTGTTTGTAACTCCAGCATCCCTACGGATGAGACCACGGCCAGTCTTTGTCCTGCTCCCAAGAGGGCCGGTCCCGGGGGGCACTAGCAAACAAAGTCCTACCAGACCGTGAAGTTCACCAGCTGCAGAAAATCGGAAAACAGGGCCCAAGAAGAGCCGTCAAGGCCATCCAGAAAGTCTTACACAGCCAGGAAGGAGCGAAAAGGGGGCAGGAGATACAGAGGGCAAGTCAGAAGCCGGAAGGGATGTGGTCCCTAAGCAAACTCTTGTGAGCCAGTCTAAGGTTGATGTAGCTGAGCTACCCCTAGGGTACAGCTGCTGGCATTTATTCAGCTGGGAATGGATTGGGCCCTCTGGTCTCTGGGAGAAAGAGCTTGCCTTCAAGGAAGCCCCCTTCTTGAGGGGGTCTCTTCTCCTGAGGAGCCTCACCGTGCAGCCGAGAACGTCACTTGGCGGCTTGTAGCCACGCATGTGCCTTCATCCGGTGGGATCCTTCCCTGGCTCAAGCACAGAGAGCCGCCTTCTGGCACCGGGTGGAAGTAACAAGCGGGGTGCCCCGAGGCTCAGTCATGGGCTTGGTGCCCTTTGACGTTTTTACTAATGACCTGGATCATTAGGGGACTGGAAACCAAGCCCTTTGAGGAGGAAAGACTGAAAAAACTGGACCTGTTTAGTCTTGAGAAAAGAAGACAGAGAGGAGACAGGATCACACTTTTCAAAGACTTGGAAGGTAGTCCTACAGAGGAAGGGCAGGATCTGTTCTCCGTCATCCCAGAGTGAAGGAGATATAAGAAGGGGCTCAAAGCAACAGGAAGCCAGATTTAGGCTGAATATCAGGAAAAACCTCTTAACTGTTAGAGCAGTACGACAACGGAACCCATGACCTCGAGAAGCGCCGAGCACTCCAGCCATGGTGGCCTTCAAGAGAAAATTGGACAACCACTTGGCAGATATCCTTTGACTTTGGATTCCTGCCTCTAGCAGGGGGTTGGACTTATAGGCCCCTTCCAACCTCATTATTCCATGCTTCTATGATTTTTATTATTCCAGAAGTTCAGTTTTTGCAAGATAGGGCTGCTCCTCCTCCATATCAAGTCTGGGGAGGTCTGGCTCAGCCCCGATGGAGAATTAATGCAACGCCACCATCACAGAAATGCTAACATATATGGGAAAATATCCAACCCAGATGTCAGCGTATACCCATTTTTTAAATTTTGTTTGTTTGTTTTGAGGGTGCTTGGCAGGGTCTTGCAACCCTTCTGCAATGTGAATATGCCACTCCTTTAGTCCTTCAGGAGGAGGTGAAAAATGTACATAGTTTTAAAGCAGATTTTCATCCGGGGGGGTGGTGGTTTCCTTCAGAAGCAATAGTTTTAAAGCAGATTTTCATCCGGGGGTGGTGGTGGTGGTTTCCTTCAGAAGTGGTCTGGGGTGGCCATCTTTGTCCATCCTTATTGTAGAAAGACGATCATCCTGATGAATTAGGAAATGCTGGAGAAGAAGTTGCACTACATCATGTTAAGACTCTGCTGTAAAGCAAGTGCTTTAGCGATAGAACGGCACAGTCTATCACACCTTTGTAGCCGATGAGATCTTGGGCTTCAACTCCCAGAATCCTTGATTTGGGTGGAGGCTTTTGAAAATTCAATTCAAAAACATCTCAACCTCATTCCCCAGCCTTTCTGTTCACCTTGCCCCTTGCCCTTCTCCTCCTCCAGGTTCATCCCAGAGGGCCTCCAGTGTTCCTGCGGCCCAGATTGGTACACCGTGGGGACCAAGTACAAGAGTGAATATTACACCTGGTTCCTCTTCGTCTTTTGCTTCATCGTGCCCTTGACCCTCATTGTCTTCTCCTACTCCCAGCTTCTGGGCGCCCTCCGGGCCGTAAGTATCTCTAACTACGCCAGGACACACAGGCATCCACTTTCCAAATGAGATCACACCACAGATCTGAGAGGCAGCCTTTTCTTGGCTTGGGCATTGCCAGGTGCAGGAGAAATGTGGTGTTTTCACGGAGTTCTCAATCCAGAGCAGGAAATCTCTTTCCTGGTGAATCACAGTGAAATCAAAACCCCACAAGCCGGGGACATCCATCCACTCCTCGGAGGGTGTAAGCAAAGGCAGACACGAATGGAGGGGGGTTCGAGGGTCCGGGAGGGGGGCCTGCAAAGGTTGCGTGAAAGGAATGAGTTGACAGGCAGCAGGAGTGTATAGTCTGGGGGGAGCTGGCAGACAACTTTTTGCCCCCACGCTGGGTTGTGCCAAGCCCAGAAAAGGCTTTTATCCCCCCACAACTCTTGTGTGTTGTGGTGGGATGGAACCCCCAAAGTTCCCAGCTGGATATTTCCAGTTTCATTTTTTTTTTAAATGTCATGTCTCAACTCATCCCAACCGCATAATGGGGGAAAAGCCATCCTTTAGAGATCTCCAGGAGAAGGATTATGATTGGGGGTGGGAGGACAGACGGACGGACGGACAGATGAATGGACGGATGGACGGATGGATCTTTCTAAATGCAGGAGTTCTGGGGTAGCCTTCTGATTTACAAAAATGCCCTGTACACGTTATAAAAACCTTGTGGGCAAAGAACCCGACATTTTGATACGGAAATGGCACTATTTATTATTACTATTGGTTGCTCTTATTATGATATATGCAAGGCCTGAATTGCCTGAAAGACATTCTGTCTTTCGCTAGTGATGTTGATGAATAATAACCTTCATTATAGCCTTGAGAATCCCAAAATCACATCCGGGGCCAACAGTCAGTCAGGGAATCCTGCTGAACAGCCAAGCAGATCACACGAAGACTTTCCATGAGCTTTATCCAGCTCACCTCCCAGTGCTGCAGAGCAATGCACCGCCATCTTGGAATTTTTTTTCAAGACTTGTTGCCTATCGTTCCCTGCAACAGGTCGCGGCTCAGCAGCAGGAGTCAGCCACAACCCAGAAGGCTGAGCGGGAGGTTTCCCGCATGGTGGTGGTGATGGTGGGATCCTTCTGCCTCTGCTACGTTCCCTATGCAGCCCTGGCCATGTACATGGTGAACAACCGGGACCACGGCATTGACTTGCGCATGGTCACCATTCCCGCCTTCTTCTCCAAGAGCGCCTGTGTCTACAACCCCATTATCTACTGCTTCATGAACAAACAGGTAAGCGTCCCAACTGGAGGAGAGGGCTGCAACCCCTGTATTAGTGAGTGAGAGCAACTGGTAACTTGAGACTGCCCATCGCTTATGCACCATGCCTAGAAAAGCCAATCCTCTTGGGCTACAAATTCTGTATTTGCTGAATAGAATACCAAATGTGACGTTGCCCATAGGCCCAGAGATAGGATTCCCGTTTCCTTGGATTTTAATTCCCAGGATCCTCCCACAATCCTGGTAATGGGTGGGATACTGGAAGTCGTGGTCCATTTCTACTTCCACTTCTCCCATTTCTAGTTAGGTCACGACATCTGGTTACCTCCCAAACTGTAAGGGAAGACATCACCCTGCAACAGGTCGCGGCTCAGCAGCAGGAGTCAGCCACGACCCAGAAGGCTGAGCGGGAGGTTTCCCGCATGGTGGTGGTGATGGTGGGATCCTTCTGCCTCTGCTACGTTCCCTATGCAGCCCTGGCCATGTACATGGTGAACAACCGGGACCACGGCATTGACTTGCGCATGGTCACAATTCCCGCCTTCTTCTCCAAGAGCGCCTGTGTCTACAATCCCATTATCTACTGCTTCATGAATAAACAGGTACGCGTCCCAACTGGAGGAGATGTTTGCAACCCCTGTATTCGTGAGTGAGAGCAACTGGTTAACTTAAGACTGTCCATCGCTTATGCACCATGCCTAGAAAAGCCAATCCTCTTGGGCTACAAATTCTGTATTTGCTGAATAGAATACCAAATGTGACGTTGCCCATAGGCCCAGAGATAGGATTCCCGTTTCCTTGGATTTTAATTCCCAGGATCCTCCCACAATCCTGGTAATGGGTGGGATACTGGAAGTCGTGGTCCATTTCTACTTCCACTTCTCCCATTTCTAGTTAGGTCACGACATCTGGTTACCTCCCAAACTGTAAGGGAAGACATCAAAAGTCCGAGAAACTCTTTTGGTTCACATGACCAAGGGGCAGGCCAACGTCTTATGTACAAAATACCGGAGAATCAAAGCTACTTCACATGGGGGTGGGGGTGAGGAAAGGCACTAAGCCTTGATATCTAGCCATGCATAAAAATGTCACACAGTGCCTTCCTATAAGGAAAGAGAAAGAGAAAGTTTAAAACAAAGCCAATAGATTATGGGTGTCTGGACTGTGTAGGAAAGAGAAAGAGAAAGTTTAAAACAAAGACATTTAGGGTGAAATAGGGATAGATTATGGGTGTCTGGATTGTATAGTTCCCCAACCTTGGACCTCCAGATGTTCTTGGACTTCAGCTCCCAGAAATCCTGGCCAGCAGAGGTGGTGGTGAAGGCTTCTGGGAGTTGTCCTCCAAGAACATCTGGAGGCCCAAGGTTGGGGACCATTAGTGAAGATCAATCTGAGGCTTCTAATGAAGCAGTCATGTGTCTGGGCTTGATCTCTAACCTCTTCTAAATGGAGCCAAACAGGGAGCCAGATTTAGGCTGAAGATCAGGAAAAACTTCCTACCTGTTAGAGCAGTACGACAATGGAAACCATGACCTCAAAGGGAAGTAGTGAGTGATCCAACGCCGGAAAGGCACTCAAGAGAAATTTAGAAACCCATCTGTCCAATCTGCTTTGACGTGGATTTCTTCACCGAGCAGGGGGTTGGACGTGATGGCCTTATAGTTGACCCTTCCAACTCCATCACTCTGTGATTCTATTATCTATCTCTCTCTCTCAATTCTCCCCACAGTTCAGGGCTTGCATTATGGAAACAGTATGTGGCAAACCCATGACAGATGAGTCCGACGTCTCAAGCTCAGCCCAAAAAACGGAGGTCTCGTCCGTCTCTTCCAGCCAAGTCAGCCCCAGCTAAGGAGATGGTGCCGTGGGGATCCCACCGAGAAGCACGCCCACCCCCTTCCCCGAAGCCACGTCTGCGCTGCTTGTCAGCAGAGGGAGCCCCACGGGTGCTACGGGCTGGAAGGGTGACCGCCACGGACTTTAACCTCCACTTGATTTTGGTCTCTCTTAGCTTTACAAGGACCCAATGAACTTCATTGTCCCGGCACCTGAGGTGGGGGGGCGGCGGGAAACCGGGGGGGGGGGAGACTGTGCCAAGAGGGCAGCACTCTGGGGGCTGCCGTGCCCAGGAATCTCTGAGCCCCCCTGCCTCCCCAGCAGGAAACCTCTCTGTCCTTCAGCCAGCAACCCGGGCCTCCCAGCCATTTCCACAGGGAACGACCTGCTGCTGTGCAAACCCTCTGAATTGGTTCCTCGTTTGGAAGCAACGCGAGCAACTGAACTGTCAGAGGAAGCCTGCGATTTAATCCCATTAAAACTCTCCTTGTGATGATGATGAGGCTGAAAAGTGCAGGAAGCTGGAGCATCAAGAAGGGATACGAGGGATGGGAG